TATATTTATAAAATTTATATATTCATATATATATATATTATAAAAAAAAATTATTATTACTAACTATTTTAATTAATATAAATTTAAATAATTTTAAAATATATATTTATCAAAAAATTTTTATTATTATTTATAAAGTAATTTTTTTTATTACTATATAAATTAAATTTAATATTTTTTTTTAAATCTTAATTTATTTATATTTATTAATATTTATATTATAATTATGTATAAATTAGATAATATAATATTATTTTTATTTAATATATAAGATATATATATATATATATATATATATATATATTAAAATAAATAAAAATAAGGATATATATATATATCAATTTCTTTATTTTTTTGTTTTTATTATAGATTATCCAATCAAAGAAGAACTTTAATCTAATTAAATTCTTCCTTCTTTTAGAGCTGCAAAACCCCTTAATTATATAAAATTAGATAATATATTATCTGTTCCTATAAGCATAACAATCAACATAACGAAAAAATCTAATCCTAAATCAAAATAAAATGTCATATATACTATATTAGTCCAAAACTCATAATATTCCTCTTTTAAATTACCCAATTACCATATAAGTATAAAAATAAAGGATAAAAAAGTAGTAAGGAAAATCATTTAGATACCAAAATTATACTTAAATCCATCTATAATCTTCTATTTATTTATATCTTAATATTAATAAGTAGAATTTAACCCTAAAAATATCAAATTAAATATACCTAAAGTCAAATATACGAAAATAATAGAACTAGTAATTGTTATAATGGATATTATTTGCTAATATATCTTGCTGGATAGATTGAAGTTTAAATAATTGCAATATATAGCAGATAATGATAAATGAGTTATTTATATATATATAAAAGTGGAAACTCTGGAAGAATTAGTAATAAAATTATTCGTTTGGCCAAAAAATAAAGCAAAATAAGGAAAATAATACAAAAAAGAGGTATTAATGATTATTTTGGAATTTATATAAACATCTAAAAAACAAGATTTTAAATATGCAAATATATGCAATGAAATAAGTAAGGAAAAAATAATATAAAGAATATTTAAAATTGCCTATTTATTATTAATATCGAATATATTTTTTAATCGTATTTCAACTTTTTAGTTTTATAGACCATTTTCAACTTAATTCTAGCTATTATTATAAACTTAATGAATTCGATATTTTTCAGTCTATAAAACATCAAATTTGAAGCTATTTTTCATATATAAATCGTCTAAAGTAGGTAGTTATAATGCATTTTATTTATTCATTAATACAGCAATATACCCATTTAGAGAATAACAAGAGCAGGCTATATGAGTAGTGTTTTCTCTTTAGAAATAACAAGATTAATAGTTGAAAGTTTCGTCGATTTCATTAAATTCTACACATTAATAGACTTATTAGAATATTGATTTTTACATTAATTTTGAGAAATTGACTAGTTTAGTAAGAATTAGGGTTGCTGGGATTATTTGTTGAGTAAAATTTAAAGAATAAGTATTAGAAAAGAAGTTTACTTTATAAAAATTAGTAATAAAAATTTAATTTGAGGCTTTTTTAGGTTTATGGGTTACAGCTAAATCTTCAAGGATTTAAAATTAGAAATTCTTGTTGTATTTTTCCACAAAATCAAAGGGAATATATAATTCGTGTCTTCTTCCTTTTAATTCGATTATTCGGTAATTATTCATCATTTTTAATTAGTTAAAACCGCTTCCGAATTCAAATAATTCTTATTATTAAGTCAATATTCGACCGTTTTTTGTACTATTTAGGGTTATAGTGGTATTATTTTAATCTATTTGTTATTTATTTTAGTCTGTCTGGTTTATGTATTGATAGTATTAGATTGTAGAAGCAGTTATATAGAATTGATATTTAAAACTTTAGTATATTAAATTTCTTATAGTTTTTATTTGGGTAAAAAAAGTCATTTTTTTTATCAAAAAAAGCACTTTTTATTATTCTGTGGTCAATATGGACATTTTTTAACTAAGATTTATATAAATATTAATAAAAAAAGTAACAAGTGTCTAATTTTTGAAAGTTTGACTGTTTTCAGAGGAGAAGAAAGTGACGAAAATCTCCAGTAAATTAAAATAAATGGAAAATAGTTCTGGATATAAGATATCAACTAAATAACTCATGTCCATGAATATATTTACTATTATGGCGTTATTTAATTTCTTAGAAGTCTCAACTTCGTAATATTTTAACACTTTTAGGAAATATTCGTTGATGTTTTTGCTTAATAGGGCGTCGAATTGGCATAGACTACCCGCATATTCATTACTGCATTAACAAGAGAATCCATAGGGCTACTTAGATTAACATAATCCTCCATTTAAGCAAAAGTTAATGCCTTTTTAG